ATTTGCCCCTTGTTCAAAGTCTGAATATTTTTGGATAAAGAACCAAGCAGTCAAAAATGTGAAATACTTTGTATTTTAAAAACAATTCAACTGTACATTTTATTATGAAGCTAAACACTAGTGAATAATCTAAATGCAATCAATTCCAACTATTGTTACAGTAATGGTTTAAACAGCTTTCATTCATCTAAAAAACAGAGTACTCTGGAAATAGCTGCTTTGATTAAAGTGCTCTGGTGAGTAATTTGCTGCAGTCCATTGAGCATACATGATATGACAATTTGTTGCAGAGATTTATTTACCGGGTAGAGGAAATATATATTAGGTCAATATTGTCATAGCAGTTTGTACTGAAGGTGATGGGACAGGTTAGCAAAACAGTTAATGATCCTGAGATTGAAAAATAGAGGCATTGATGACAAAAAAGATTGGTGTAAACCTATGTGGAATACTAATTTCACCCCAACTGGAGTATTGGATTGGATGTTACAAATACAAGTCTGAGGTATCCCAGTGCCTCATGTCATCACACATCTCCAGTATTTCAGAAGGCAACACGGTGTAGAAATTGAAAGCCTTCTCACCATTTAAAAAAACCATTAACAAGTGAATGCTCAATGGTGACCAAGGCGTGACTAATTTTTAATTGCCCATTACATTTGTTTGGGTAACAGATAGGAGAAAGTTGTGCTGTGTAATATGTGTAGTTACCAGAACAGGAAGTCTCAAGCAGAGGAATGTGTGAGGGAACCTCCAGGAGCAGCTGGTGTTGGTGAGGGAAAGCACTGAACCGGGTAACTGGAGCACTTGTGCTGGGGCATCCAGCTACAGGCAGTGACAATGAGGGGGAGTGCTAGGCAGGGAAGTTGGAGTCATTAAATATATCCTCGCTGGAGGAGATGGTGTCTTTGGGTTGAAGAATCAGATAGTCAAAAGATTTCCTCAACCAGATATAAAGCACAGGGTAACTACATGTAAGTACTGTGTCTTCCATATTTAACCTTAACTTCTCTTAATACTTGTGATGACCTGATGCCAGTGGAATAAAGGATGTCTACTTCATGATGTGCGGGCTGTTTGTGTGTTCAAATTTCATGTTCCAGATGTAAAGCTTTGGATTAAGGACTGAAGAAATTTACTGTCATTGTTCCAGGAATGAGTTTGAGGTGTTTGGATAGGCTAGAGAAGCTAGTTTTGTTCTCTTTAAAACATAGATGGCAAGGAGGAGACTTGATTAGGATGCTTAAAATCATGAAAGCCTTAATATAAAGAGGAATTCCTTTAAAGTTTTAGCAAAGATTTGTAGCTCAGGTTGTGGGTGAGGTTGTTGACTTGCTCGCCAAACTGGCTTGTTTTCATTCAGACGTTGCGTCACCATGCTAGTTGACATCATCAGTGGAGCCTCCGAAGAAACGGTGTTATTCTACTCTGCTTGGAATTTATACTGTCTGGTCCGTTATAGTGAGTACTATCATTTCCAATTTTGATCTGTATGGGTTTTTATATGGGGTCCAATTCGATATGTTTGTTGATTGCATTACGGTTTGAGAACCATGTCCCTAGGAATTTCCGTGCATGTCTATGTTTGGCTTCGGCTACTATGGTTACATTGTCCCTGATGTTCCTGATAAGTAGCAGACACAGTTTTAAGGTGGTTAACAGAAGGAATCAGAGATGACTTGCAGAAAGTTTTCCTTGCACATTCAGTGGCCATGATTTTGATAGCACTAATAGAGCTGCAGTTACAGATTTGTCAGTTGCTTTTGAAATAGGATTGTATATATATTTGAGAGAAAGAATTGCAGGAATATGGGTAAGAGTGAGTGAATGGACATATTTGCTTTGTTCTTCTAAAGAGCTCGTCGAGACTTAGTAGGCCCAATAGCTGCTTCCTGTGAAATTTTTTTATCTACAACAATAGTTAAAACCAGCAAGTTTTGACTGAATGTCGAAGTAGTTTTGTAGTGCCAGAGCAGTTGGTTGGTCATAATACGTAGCACATTAAGAAGAATTGACTTACTCTTGAACAAATAAGTTCTAACTTTTTCTGCGGTTTGTAGTGATTTGTACCAAACTTCGTACCCTTCATGTGCTTTTATGATGTATATCTTGATAAGATACTGTGCAGCAAACCTTATGAAGAAGCAGCGTTAGGCAATCAGAAATTTCCTGATTTTCACCTTTAATGTTTCATCTACAGCTGCTCAAAATTACTATCCAGTTTACTGTTTAATAACTGAATAATAATGGTCTTATCTTTATTCCTTCTGCAAAGTCTGAACAAAGGCATTTCATTATAACCAGTTCTAAAACTCTGAGTCAGTCTCCAAGCGTTAAAGAGGACTATTTTTCTCAGTTTTCTCCAATGTGTTTTGTATCTCTGCTTAACTAAGAAATATCTAGGCAAAAGTAATGTTTTCCTGTTTGAACCATTTAGAATTGCTTGTTACTAATGGCTAATTTCTGTCTTTTTTTTTATTCCTTTGTTCAAGATAAACAATCATAGAGTCCCTACAGTGCAGAAAGAGACCATTCAGCCCATTGAGCCTGCTTTGACCCTCTGAAGAGCATCCCACTTAGCCCTAGACCTCAATCATACCCCTGTAACCTCACATTTACCATGGCCAATCCACCTAACCTGCACATTTTTGGACCGTGGGAGGAAACAGGAGCAGCCATCGGCAACTCACACAGACACAGGGAGAATGTGCAAACTCTACACAAGTAACCCAAGGCTGGAATCAAACTCAGGTCCCTGTTGCTATGAGGCAATAGTGCTAACCACTGAGCCACTGTTGCCACTCAAGCTTATAATATATATTTTTTTTAAAACTGCAGAATGAACTGCATGGTGATGTTTGAGATAGCCCCTTCCACCCCCAATATTTGTCGGACCCATTCCCCAGAAATAATGTCAAACGTATCTACAAACCAGCTTAATCCCATCAGGAGCCCGAATCAGTGATGCTGTTGATTGTATTTGTAATGGTCTGCATATAGAGCCTCTACATCACCACATTGAGGAATTGAGAAAAATCTAAGTGCTTCCCCAAATTGGGGGCAAATTAGTGACGCACACAGCTTGAGACACTTATACACTCTTCCTCATTGGCTGTTTTCAGATTGTCATTCGACAAAGTCTTAAGTATATGAACAAGGAGCAGGAGCATGCCATGCAGCCTTTCACTCAATAAAGTCATCACTAATGTGATTGTAACCACAAATCCACATTCCTGTCTTTCCCTGCTAACTTTTCACCACCTTGCTGATATAGACTTGCTCACCTCTGCCTTAAAAACTCTGTTTCTACTGCATTTTCAGGAAGAGTTCCAAAGACTCATGACCTCTGTGAGAGAAGAAAAAAAATCTCCCAATCTCTATTTGAAATGTGCGACCACTTATTTTTAACAAGTGATCCCTAGTTTTAAATTCTCCATAAGAAGAAACAGCCTCTCCACTTCTTGTCTACCAAGTATCTTATACATTTCAACCAAGTCACCTCTTACACACAAGAACACAAGAACTAGGAGCAGGAGTAGGCCGTCTGGCCCTTCGAGCCTGCTCCGCCATTCAATAAGATCATGGCTGATCCTTTCGTGGACTCAGATCCACTTATGCTGATACAAGCCTAGCCTGTTCAACCTTTTCTTATAAGACAATTCTCTGGTTACAGATATTAGTTTGGTGAACCTTCTCTAAACTGCTTCCAATGCATTTAATCTTTCCTTGAATAAAATGATTAATGTTATACTCCAGGTGTGCCACTTATCATTGAAAAATAATCTCCCTAACTTTGTATCCAATTGCCCTTGCAATAAATGATAACATTCTATTAACGTTCATTTTTATTGCATAAGCTGCATACTAGTTTTTTCTGATTCACGCACTATGTCACCCAGATCCCTCTCCATCTCAGAGCTCTTCAATCTGAACAGATTGTCCAGAAGCAGTCCTTTTTGGAAATATTAATCCTTAGAAGGGAAAGCAGTGGAAATTCCTTGAAAAACAGAGAATTTTTACTATATTAAGAAAGTGTTCTCTATCCATATTACAAGGCATTATGGTGCCTGGTGATAGGTTCTTGATTAATAAGAGGATCAAGGGGAAAAGGCAGGAGAATGGAGTTGAGAAACATATCAGCCAAGATCAAATGGCAAAGCAGAATCAGTGGACCGAAAGGCCTAATTCTGCTCCCATATCTTTTGATGGGTGCCCACCTAGATGAGAAGTGGCTGCAATGCTGTCACTTAACAGACTGTTGACCATTATCAGGCTGGGGGTGAGACTTATTCCTCTAGAGAGCAAAAATCCAATCTCTGAGAGCTGCCAAGCAATCAGGTGGCTGGCAACTATTTGGCAACTGCTCCTGCTGGGACTAATGCTAGAACTACAGGTAGACTCCAGTCGAGATAATCGCTGGAGCTAGAAACCAAGGTCAGGCTGACAATCACTAGTACGTGAGGTTGGATTCTGAGTTTGAGAATCCAGCAGTGCAAGATAAAGGGGAAAGAATGATTTTGGAATGGGGTTGCACCGGCAGGAACAGGGAAACCAGAGGTGGTTCACTACTACAACCATGCCCCTACCCCTTACATGCCCAACAGTAGCCTATGCAGCTACAGTTGCTGATTTTCCATGTGGCATGAACCACCCTCACCCAATGAAATAGTTTTGGGGGTGGAACTCTGTAGCAGGGCTGAGATGAAGTTCTATTTGGCCACTTAATGGATTCAATTAGCCCAAAAGATGAACAGACACCACTATTGTTCCTCCAACCCTTGCAATATTTCATTCTTCAATGGGTTAGTGACAAATGCAGCCATGAAAATTTCTGAGCCTACTTTCGGAGTGTTATTACGTTATTGATGTTTGTCTTTTTCTCACATTCTGACAAGGATGCACAAGAGAAAAATTCCAGGATGAATGCAAACCATGTTTATTTGTCATGTTTTCTGTCTTTAAGGTCATAGCAACTATGCATTTCCTTAACAATAGATCACAGATTTGCCCATCATGCCCAGGAAGAGCACCATAAACTGGCCATCATGCACAGAAACATGGAGAAGCTTTACCATGATTTGATGCATTATTTTGTTATCAATCCAAAGAAAGTCACAGCTGAGGAGCTTTTTAACGATATAAGTAACTTCCGAACCATGTTCATGGTATGTTCATTTGTTATATGAAACTCTGACGATAATGGAACAGCCGCTTCTTATTTATCTTGCTTGTTATCTTCTAGTTATTTTGTGATGGCATTACTGCATTTATAGTTTATTGCATTGTAGCTACTACTTACAAGTATGTTGATATGATAGATTTCCTTACAGAGGTGTTGAGAGGACCACATGTCCGAACTCACTCCTTTCAAATCCTAAGATGTTCTGCCCTCAAGTCCATATTACATCATCATCATGGATGGTACTTATGACATTCCTCTGGATTAACCTTTTCAGACTGTTTCCAACCCATATGTGCCAATAGTTATATTGACTTGCGTTCCAATATAAAATAAGAACTTACTTTCAATTAGTAATCAGATCAAAAGCTGCCCTTCCTTTAACTTACCAAGTAATTGAAGCTACTGTTTGTGATAGAGGTGGTTATTGCTTCATAAATGAAATTGCAATGAATGTTTTCTCCATTTTTGTTCTTAATTTCATCTTTGACACATTTTCTAAGAAACAGGAAAAGAAATAGGCAATTCATCTCTTCAAACCTGTTCTTCCATTCAATATGATTGTCTTTTAATCTTCATTCTTTTCATTAAAGCAAGCTGTCAGGGAAAACACAAAGCGGAGAGAGGCAGAGGAGAAACAGAGACATGCCAAATTAGCCAAAGAAAAGATTGAGAAAGAGAAAAGAGAAAGGCAACAAAAGAAAAGACTTCTCCTGGAGAAGAATTCAGGTAAAAACATGCGCGCATTTAACCTTTAAAGAACAAAAGAAAAGAAAGGAAGTATTCAATCTTTTTGGCTGACATCAGCTAATTTGCTTGAATGTGCAATACAGATGACAATCATTCGATTATCATGAAAAGAATAGATTGAATTCATCCCAATTTTGGGTTCACTGCATTTGCTAGAATTCCATTTGTGCTTTAGAAAACTGTACCTTATTTAGTTCACTCAACTACAAAATGCACTTCTGCTTTGGCATTGTTACGTCGTCTCTTCTTCAACTTCAGTCTTTGTAAATTGGAGGCACTTTGTTGAGAGTGCTCTGTTGATGTAAAGGAACTATAGTATCAAGAATATTCTCAAAGCGGTTTGTTCTAAGTTTAACTCAACCCAAGAAGCAACAAATTGCATTTTGGCTGAAGTAAAAGGCAGTTGTAACCAATCATTGAACATTTTGTCAATCATTGCATAGAGCTATTAAAAGTAAACATTCTTGCATTCTTGTGCTTATGCTTAGATACTTGATTGACTTGGTTATGTTGACAGAGGACTGCAATGTATTTCTGTAGGAGATTGAATGCAAAACCTGATGATTCATTATGTGTTATACTTCTCTCTTACCCCTGCTGTATAAGAACCACCATGTCTGTATGTTATATGGTTATATCTAAAGTTAAAACAACTCCATGTAAACCTTATTCTGTGCTGCATTTAGCCTGTGTGATTCCGCACAGAGAAAATAATCCAATAAGAAGCCAGTAAGAGTCAATAACAAAGCTAAATACTCCCGCCACTGACAAATGGCTTTACTATTGAGCTAACATTTTCGTATTTATTCTTACCGCGCATTTCCTTTTGTTGCTTGTAGTTTCTCTTTGACCATGTGAATCTTCTTTTCGTTGGTTCTGTATTGTATCAATGCCACACAGTCCTTTCATCCTATGTAAACCATAATTATAGAAATGTTTCTTTTGCACAACTAACTGGTGTTCAGGTAACATGGAAACAGGAGCAAGCCGTTCATTCAATTAAAACAGAAGTTGCTGGAAAGGAAGGGTCACCGGAGCTGAAACATTAACTCCAATTTTTTTCTTCACAGATGCTGCCAGACCTGCTGAGCTTTTCCAGCAATTTATGTTTTTGTTCCTGATTTACAGCATCCGCAGTTCTTTCGGTTTTTATTCATTCAATTAAATCCATTCCACCATTCAATTAAATCATGGGTGATCTGTATCTTAGCTGTATCTCCCCTCTCTTAAGTAAACTTTAATACTTTTTCCCAACCAAAGTCTGTCAAATTCCAGTTTATAAATTTTTTAATTCACCTACCTCCGCAGTGTTTTGTTGTGTGGGGAGAGGGCTCCCAGATGCCTAAGTGGAATACTGTTGTTCAAGATTTATATTAATATTGATTGAATGCAGAAATCAAAAGTACAATTTAAATCTTACAAAGGTCAATTTGGGGACAATAATTAATACTAATGAAGAATTCAACATAATACAAAAAGGCTTTCATAAATGGATGTGGAATTGTCAAATGACGTGCGTTTCAATGCAGAAAAGTGAGATGGTGCATTTACAAGATGATGCTTGAATAATAAGCATTTAAGTGCAGTAAAGGAGCAAAGGAATCTAGATTTACAGATATACAGTGCTCTTAAAGTCATGCTGTAAATTAACAAGATCATTATGAAATCAAATTAGACATTGAGTTTTATATCTCGAGGGATGTCTCTGTATATAAGTACAGAGAGCTATCTATGGACCCAAGTTTACACTGCCACCACCATCTAGAGCTAAAATTGTGACATTCAAGACATTTTTTCCTGACGTGGGTGCGTCAAGCCAGGATATTATCTGAGTCTCATTACTCGGATTGGGAGCAAATATCTGGGGGATATTGACGATGTGGATGATGGAGGTATTAGTATAATGTATAATAGTTGGTGCTATGTTTTGACATGAATTGAGGCACAATTTTTGCATATTGTTGGGGAACCTATGCACCGCATCTTTCTATATACTTTACGAATGTAGGAAAGATATATCCTTGTGTCCAAAATGGAAAATATTTTTATTGCCCATTACTGATTTATAATAGAATTGACTTGCTGTACTTGGTTGGTTTGACCTCTTCGGTTTTCTTTTGATTAGAGATATTGAAGTTGATTGACCAGTTATGGTAGTCAGCCACTCAAAGGCAAAATGGACACAAGTCAGGATTATGACAATATTGGAATATAACTTGCATTGGCTGAGCCATGGTGCACTACAGAAATACACTACTACACTTTCTCAAGACTAGCAATGATTTTGTGAAATTTGATGTTGAAGGTGAAAAATAATGAAATTTGTTTTGTATATTGTGAGATTTCATTTAAGGAAATGATTATTTTCAGAATGAATGAATGCGGTTCATCAGAGGGTTTCCCTTGTCATTTTGTCTTGAAAATTCACAAAATTAGATGTTATACGAAGAGGCGGCATGGTGAGCACCGTGACCTCACAGCACAGGGGATCTAAGTTCGATTCCAGCCTTCGGTGACTGTCTGTATGGAGTTTGCATGTTCTCCCTGTCTCTGCGTGGGTTTCCTCTGGGTGCTCTCGTTTCCTCCCACAGTTCAACAATATGCAGATTAGGTGGATTGGCCATGTTAGATTGCCTATATTGTCTAGCGATGAACAAGATAGGTGGATTAGCCATGATAAATGTGGGGTTATGGAGATAGGGTGAGCGCCTGGTTCTGGTTGGGATGCTCTTCAGAGGGTAAGTGCAGGATTCAGTGAGCTGAATGGTCTATTTCTATACTCTAGGGATTCAATGATCTGTTCCTATGCATATTTATTGAATGTTTTTTCCCATTAATGGTTCCTTTTAATGGGTCTGCTACCGGACCTCTTTTCCAATCACCCACTTCAACAGTTGCCAGGGGTCTCTCAAATCCACCTAGCTGATTTCCCCCTTCTCTGGGCTTACTGAGGTCAATAATTATATTCAGCTAGGCATCACGTCTCAGTCCTACAATGTCATTAATTAATTTTTTTTTTCTTTTTAAACGAGAATGGTTATTTTGGAATGGTGGTTTGATAACTTGCAGGAAAGTTTACTTGTATTTTAGCAAGTTGTTATTTATTATATTGTGCAATAAGCGTAACAGTAGAGTGGTAAGCATAGACAGGGACTATAGAAAATAAAACAATTTGCTCAAGACTTCAATCCTGAAGCCATTCCAAAGTACGGTCATAAATTGAAACATGAACTCTGCTTCTTCCTTCACAGATGCTGCCAATACTGCTATTTCCGTATTTTCTGTTTATATCTCAAATTTCCAATATCCACAGAATTTTGCTTATAGATTATTGCATTGTTAGTTGGACATATCTGTGTGACCTAATTTAATCTCTATTTTGGAAAATCTGTTACAACAACAAAAATGTTATATTTATAAGAAAATAACTACATGCCTATGGAAGTATAATTAATATAGAACAGCGGCAGTGCAAAGGTCTTTTAACTTACTGATAGCACATTATCTCAGGAATACCTTATATTTCATTCAGTTCTGATAGGTAATACTAATCTTTCTACACAAACTATTAGCAGGAAAAAATTGTTTGTATTTCATGTTTTAATCCCTTCACCATCAGCCAGCATTCAGTCTTTTATGCTGGTGCCTTTCCTGAAGTATAACAAATTTGAAAAAGGAAGAAAGATGTAACATAGGAAGAAAAAAAATTGGAATTGTAACCTTTATGAAGTTAGCATGCTCAGCAGTTCAGAAAGTAATGTGTTCATAAGTGCCTATTATATTGACTATCATCAAAAATTAAATACAAAGTTAATTTTAAATATTAGTATGTTAAATAATACTAAATTATGCCAGAGATTTTATCAATGGTAACAATACCTTGCTAAATCATCAAGAACTCATTTTAAAATGTACGTTAGTCAAATGATGTCAATTTAACAATACTATTTTGAAAGTGAAGCATTTTTACACAGAAGAATAGAAGATGTGAGGAAGAACATAAGAAATAGGAGGCGGAGTAGGCCATCCACCTTTTGATTCTATTCCAGCATTCACATGTGTTCATGGCTGATCTGATCATGGCCTCTGTCATGTAAGGCTGTGAAAGAGTAAATGCTGAAAAGTGCATTAAGCTCCATCCAATATAATGATGCCATATCGACTCAGGCAGGAAATGGGCCAAATAGAACACAGAATTGGATATCTTGGAGATAGCAATTCTTCAGATAAACACTTACTGGCAAACTGGTTATTAAATCAGAAGCTGAAAAGTAAGTACAGTTTTGCAACCAATTGGGACGGTATCTGATGACATTATATCTCGCCTCAACAGCTATTTTTAGAATATAAGAACTCAGGTATAGGAGTAGGCAATTCAGCCCCTCGCGCCTGCGCTGTAATTAATTACCATCATATCTGATTTCATCACAGCCTCAATCTTACTTTCCTGCTTGCTTTCCATAACCCTTCAACCCATCACTAATTAAAAATCTGTCTATATCCTCCTTAACTTTACTCAATGACCCAGTATCCACAGCATTCTGGGATAGTGATTTCCACAGACTCATGATGATTTGAGAGAAGTAATTTCTCCTTGTCCCTGTTTCAAATCTGCCACCCCTTATCCTAAAACTATGATCTCTCATTCTAGATTGCCCTACATGAGAAATTATTCTTTCCATGCCTACTTTGTAAACCCCGTAGTAATTTACGCAACTCAATTAGAGTGTATAGGCCTAATTGCTCAAAATCTCTTCATAAGACAAAATCCCCTCATCTCTGGAATCAATCTACCTCTACCTGCCTCCAATTCAACTATATTCCTCCTCAAGAAAGGGGACTAAAAAGACAATGGCAGAAACAGCCTTGTCAACCACTGCAAAATCTTCCTTACTAATATCTGGGGGCTAGTGCCAAAATTGGGAGAGCTGTCTCACAGACTAGTCAGGCAAAAGCCTGACATAGTCATACTCACAGAA